ATAATAGTAGTTACATGGTTGTCAAATCTTTCGTTTTTCGGGAAATATCAGAAACTTTGTTTTTTCAAATGGATCATCCTGTATATTATGACATTTATGGAAGCTGCGAGAGATTCTAGACATATTTTGTGTACAATGTCATATACCTATCTTCAACGGTTTCGGAAATATTGGCAGTTAAAAATTGACTTTTTTGCAACTTTGGCAGGCTGTGAAAACTAAACGGTTAATTTTAAAGAGAAACTGAACTTATATTCTTATCAAATGATAGTTTATGAAAATCTAAGATGAGTCTGTGAGATCGGTTTTCCTCTAAAATTAACCCTTTACTTAAGTTTTACAGCCTGTCAAAAATGCAAAAAAGTCAATTTTCGACGGTCAATATTTCCGAAACAGTTGAAGATAGGAATATAACATTGTACATGAAATATGTCTAGAATTTCCAGCAGAACCCAGAAATGTCATAATATACAGGGTGATCTATTTGAAAAAACAAAGTTTCCGATATTTCCCGAAAAACGAAAGATCTGACAACTATGTAAATACCACCATATTATCGGCCATATTACAATACTCTTTCAAACCAAAATTCATTGAAATCGTGCAAGTCGTTTTTGAGATAATTGAGACGTTCCATACTTAAAACTCACTCTGTATATGGTGACATTGCCCATTACATTGTACTTCCTTAGCAATAGCCTTACTGCTTTTTCAAAACCTAACAATTACCTATTTCGGCATACAGAATGATGCAATCATCCCTGTGTTTGTGTGACTCTTGAAGGTTTAGTGCTTCTGAGTATTCTCCGGCTACTGTGCCGGTTTTTATTTTTGCAGCATCTGTGAAGATTGCTATCTTATTTTCCCTATGTATAGGGGTTTGATCCCAGCGTTCTCTTGAAGGCATAGTGATCTTTATCTTGTCATCGAAAGAATATTTGGCCACTATGTGACGCGTTGTCTTAAGGAATCTTTCGGCCTCTTGTTGGTCATTTTGGCTGTATCCTCAAGTTTTGTCGGTTTCCTTCCATAGTTTGGACTCTCTTAGTCTAAGGCCTCCCTATGCAGCTATGCCACGCTGTGCCTCAGACTTTTCTTTAAACGACATACTTTTTCTGTGCTACCAGTATGACCTTCTGGTTGCTTCATAAATATAATCCTCTTCTAACGAACCATATAAAAACGCTGATATCAAACTGTGTCAATGTTATTTCTTCACTTGCACAGCGCCGGTTTTACCACTAGGCGGACTAGGCGGCCGCCTAGGGCCCGGGCGCTCAATAGGGCCCGAAATTCACTCTGGAATCAAATATCTTATTTTGGCAACCTGGCGCCCTGAGACGCACCACACCACCCGAATTACGCACACTATCGGCAACACTGTTCTGTAGCTGTGGGATTTCCAACTCAGGTAGAGTCCACCCAACCTTATGTCATGTTGCTGATGAACATCCACCCAGACAGCATACAAAGTCTTGAAGACGTCTTTTCTAGGGTCTGCATTACGTCCGAACGTCTGAAGACCAAAAAAAGACGCCTACAAGACGTTGTTTTGAAGATGTAAATTCTTTTCTTAGACAACTATTTGGTACAACCAAGCCTAGAAGTGAATAATGATTTATGCATTAAAAAGAGATTCAAAAACGTCTTTAAGACATTTCATTGAAGAAATCTTTAGAATGTCTTAGTGCTAAAGACATCTTTAGGCAGATCTCTGGAAGACGTTGGGCTTTGTTACATTACGACGTCTTTGAAGATGCAGGTAAGACGTCTTGAATGTCGTTTATGGACATCTTAGGGACATTTTAACACTTTAAGAAAAAGTTCCCACAGAATTCGCTTCTCAATTAATTTAGAAGTTACTGGAAACCATTTAAAATGCTACAGAATACTTTAGAACTTTAATAGGCCTTTTGAAAAGTTCAAAACATTTGAAATTAAATTCAGAATTTCCAAAAGCACTTCAGAAAATTTTGGAAATTTCAGTACCATTTAAGAATGCCCCAAAACATTCAAACACCGATTTTCAAAAGCATTTTAGAACAACTCAGAAGTTTGAAACCCATTTAATGACGTTCCAAAACACTCAAACTCAGACACTCTAGAATACTCAGAAACATTTTGAAAAGCGCCAGAATCTTGAGATTCAGATTACAAGTTACAAAACGCCTTCCAGAAGGCTTTTAAGAACAAATTTAGATTGTTGTAGAATTTTAGAACTAAGGCATTTAAAACAGTTCAAATCCAAATCAGAATTTTCAGAAGCATTTAGGAGCAATTGAGAAACTTCAAAGTTATTTCAGAACAATTTTAAAATTCTAAATTGAATCCTTATTTAGAACTGGAAACCTTTTAGAACTTTGTCGAACTAATTTGAAACTCTTTGCTAAAATACTTAAAAATCAGACAGATCAGTCAGAACAATTTAGAAATTACTGAAAAACTTCTAGAATGTTCCAGAACTCTTCAAGCCAAGTTAGAATACTTTAGAACTTGAAAAAGCCATTTAGAACGTTCCAAAACACTTTTCAGCAGCATTTTGGAAGGCTTTTTTTTTCAATTTGGAAAAAAAAAAACAGTAAAAAGTTACTTCGGGCTAAGGCTCCATACCTACTGCCGCCTAGGGCCCGGTAGAACCTTGAACCGGTGCTGCACTTGCAGCAGTTCTTATTACAGCCCTAATCGAAAAAATCTTTGCAACCGGACTGAAAGTTTGGTCCAAATCTTCACCTGGTTTTTGTGAAAAACATTTTACACCCAATCTTGCCTTATACTTTTTCTGCAGAGCCATCTGGATTTGTTTTTATTTTATAAATCGATTCAGAAGACATAGCTTTTCTTCTATATAGGTACCAGTACCCTCAGTCCCCGGCGGTTTGTTGGTCCCTGACTAAAGTCGCGACCAGAGAAATCGACAAACGGAGGGTGCAAAGAATCATCGGGTTTATCCAGGCCACCATAAACGACGACTAATATGATCCCCAGATTGAATACGAGAAAATCAGAAAGACTGTATCATCTAGAAGAGGAGTTATCTCATATAATAAAGGGCATATACTAGGTATAGTGAACAATGTTCACTGAACATAAGAGCACAGATTAAAGATAAGGGAAAGAGCAGCTTACACTACATTCAGGCAACATATTCCATTTCAAAGGGTCAGAAAACATAAACGAAGAAGCCGTAGCATTTCTAATACATAAGATGCACACCACACAAAACATAATAGAGATAAAAAGCATCAGTGCAAGATTGATTTACCGTATAAATAAGCTGAATAGCAGACGTAAACTGAAGTTAATCCAGGTCTATGCACTTACCTCTACGCATACAGAAGAAGAGATCGAAAATTTGCATAATGATATTGAAACAGCCATCCAACACAGCCCTAGGATTATACAATTATTGTAATTTTAACTCCTAACTTGGCCACAAGGAGGACAACTCATCTTCCTTGGTCCACATGGGTTTGGGGTAAAAATGAAAGAGGTCAAATGCTTCTCGACTTTCTTATGAAAAAACATGTATGGTATACCTTCTTCGACAAAACACCACAACGGAAATGGACCTGGGCTATTTCCGTTGTGGTGTTTTGTCGAAAAAGTTATTCATACCATACATGTTTTTTCATAAGAAAGTCGAGAAGCATTTGACCTCTTTCATTTTTCAGGTATAGTCCGGACGGTACTACCAAAAACTAAATTGACTTTATAACAACAAATAGTCTTGAATAAATTTTCAATTGGTAATGACCACAGACTGGTACGAGCACATGTAGTAATAAATTTGAGAAAAGAGAGATTTAGAATGATCAAAAGGATAAGCACAAGATGGAAACCTCTAAAAAACGTAACAGAATACCAGCTAGAAATAGAAAATAAATTGAAATCCATAGTAAACCCAGGAACACTAAGTGTGAAAGAGTTCAATACCCAAATCACACAGGACAAGCTAAGTGAGAATACCAAGAGGCTTATGAAGGAGAGGCGGGAACTGCGAAAGAGGTACGGAGAGGATCAAGATCGATTAAAACAATTGAGCAGGAAATATCGAAGGCAGCAAGAAGAGATGTAAGAAATTTCAATACAAGGAAAGTTATCAGAATTCTAAAACAGAGGAACAAAATCACTTAGAAAAACTTTCTCAGAGGCGTGAGACAGTCACACCGAGTCACACTGAGTCACCTGAGATCTGCAGACGATATTATTTTATTGAGCGATAATGAGTGAAGCCTAATAAGTTGGACAAAGCCTCAAAAACTGTTGGGTTTAAAATGCATGTAAGCAAAACCCAGTATATGACCAAAATGTTCTACCTGACGTCGACATGCGACGTCCGTAGGACTTCCTGACGACCAAAATTCGACTAAAATGGGGAATTAAATTTCGGTCAATTCGACATCGGAATCTGACTTTGAGTCCTTAAGCAGACCTAAGCACTACGTAATTTGACGTTGGGAATGCTTCACCATTTCTGACTTGGAAAGTCGGAAAGATCTAATTTTTTATACCTATACCTAAACTGTACCTATACCTATACCTACTAAGTATTTAAAAATTGGTCTGAAGATTTTACCCTATTTTCTACCAAATATAGATATATTATTTTGGAAACATAACAACATAAAATGACGTCAACTATTTTATTTCGTTGTAATAGGGTGCAAATTTAAAATTTTTTCTCCAATAAAGTTTTTGTTGAAAAAAAAGCACTACTTTGACACCTCTTTCCTACACTTTAACCAACGAACCAACGCTTTAACTTAAGCATGGACCAAAATACTTTTGTTTTTGATAGCAAGGGTTAGAGATTAGAATAAGTTAAGTGAAATTCAACAAAAAATCGGAATAATTTTTATAAAATTACTGTGTAAATAATATTATTTTTTCTGAATAAGATAAACTATATCGCTGAAGGTTAATGGATAATTAATATTTGCATTACCACTATCAGTAAACAAAACAATTTGAAAACATTCAAGTATAATACAGAAATATAAGTTTCACTTTTGTTCAGTCCGCCATAATAAACTACAACAGTGAGTGACAAAATAATCCAAATGTATTGCCTTTTATCTGAAGAAGAATGTGCACTAATTTTATCAAAGACGTTCAAAAATAAAAATTACATTTTCGTGAAACAAGAAACAAAACCATTTAGTGATGTTGTTTTAGGATACCTAGGCGAACACTTACTATTGACAATATTTTACAAAAACCAACAAAAAATCAACAAAGTTTCGTATTTCATCAAGTGCGCTCCGCAAAATCAAACTCAGAAACAATTTATAGACGACTTGGACGTGATACATAAAGAAAGATCAGTTTATGAACTTATAAGCAAACTTAGGCCATTTGTGAGTAGACCATTTTCCGCAGAATATTATTTTGGAAGAAGCAACGACATTGTTGTATTTGAAAATCTAAAGCCCCAAGGATATGGAGTACCAAAGCAGGATTATTTCAATCAGCAGCAAATTGAAGCAGTTTTGAAAACAATGGCAATTATGCATTCTGCAAGTATGAAGTTTGAGGATAATGAAAACCACGTTTTAACCGATGAATGCAATGAACATTTTATTGATGATTCGTATATAAATGAAACTTCTAGGAATGATTGGTACAAGTCTGCAACCAACTGTATAGCTCGTCTAGGAGAATATTTTACTGGTAAAGATTACAAGAGGAAATTGTTTGATTATTTAGAAGATGAGCTGATGGAATTGGATAAGGCATCTTCAAATTCAAGAAATGTCTTATGCCATAATGATTTATGGGCAAATAATATTATGTTCAAGGAGAATAACGACGATTGCCTTTTTGTTGATTTTCAGTTTGTTAAATATCGTCCACCAAGCCATGATTTTTGGTTCTTTTTATATTTTAACACTGAATATGAATTTTTAAAGACACATTTGGATGAGTTTGTTGATTTTTACTATAAACATTTGCAAAATGAGCTTGGTGATGAAGAAGTGTACACAAAAGAGGAATTTTTGATAAGTATTAGAGAATTTGCAAAGCCAGTGCTATTTCAAGTTGGCACTTGTGTAACTAATGTGTTTATATCTGAGAAGTTTTCAAAGGAAATGATACAAAATAAGCAACTTTATCAGGATTTTATGATGGGTGATAGAAGCAAATACGTATTGGAAGAAATGAGAAATAATCCCATGTTTGAAGTTAGATTAAGGAATGTTATCGTGCCATTATGTAGCTTGTTTGAATAGAATTATCTAAAATTTAATGGTAGTTTCTTTAAAAACATTTTCAACTAAAAATCACGTACCATTCTCAATACAATTATACTTATTAACAGTTGATATAACGAATTCACTATTTCAGCGTTGCTGGGTGACTATTTACAAATAAAACTCCCAATATTATTGATCGTTTTAATTTTAGGCTCAATATAAACAGAGCTGCAAATTATCTGGATGTGGAAGCCTTGAAAAAAAATCAATGCCGGATCTGAATTTTTAATATGAATTTATTGCGTGATTATTATTATATGCTTTTGAGAGTAGAGCTTCTCTTTTTAGTAATGCGGCCAAGCTTATTTCAGACACAACTTAGAGTTCATTCAAAGGGTTATAGAAGCAAGAATGTACGATTTTTTTTTCAGTTATTGAAGTGTGAGAGTATTCCAAGTAAGGTGAAAGTATTCCAAGTTTCCAATACCTCAGACATAAAAGTTCTGTTCCAAGCCAATATCTGTCCAAAGCTATTGGAGTTGGAAGAGATATTTGGCCATCAAAGGGAATCCCAGGAATATTATAGGCAAGGCAAGGCAAGGAAAGCTAGATACTTACTGGACCTTTTGACCCACTGCCAAATTGAAAACCACGATCTGCATTCAGGTAGGTAGAGCGTAGCTTGTTGTTGTCAAAGCTAAATAGCAGAATAATCAACTGTCGTAGAAGACAGTGACCAGGTAAGTATTTTTCAAGAGTGCCACTTGGAAAAATCCTCCAGCTCCAGAGGATTCATCGATAATCATAAAAATGAGAATCTGCCTCTCTTCGAAGTTTAAGTACAGTAAAAAGCGCTTCTCTTTTAGCGACCACTTGTACGTTTTCCCTTCGAGAAGTATAAAACATGAATTATACAAACCAAGAATAAATTGATATGATTTATATCCTTATTGGAGAATGCTCAAAGAATTTTCTTCTAGTATCTCGAGTATACAGCGAAAGACTTCCTGATAGCGGACAACCAAATGCAAGGGAATTTCTAAGATTGATGGATCGATTTGAGAGGACTGGAACAGTTAAGTGTTGAAGAACATTCTTAATCTATACGGAAGTCTTAAGAACAGTCATTTTATTTTTATATTTTTAAAAAGGTGTATTAATTAATAACTTTTGTATTAGTGTGTCAAATTTATTTTGCATTTTCCTCTTAATTTGAATAATGGTTTCTCAAACTTTACCATGGTAGCAGAGCGTGGTTAAAAGAAGCGAGGAAAATTGAGAATATCAAGGGCTGAATTAGTACGAAAAAGTAGTAATTGAACTTTGAAGGATGGATCCGAGCAAAGTTCAAATGGGATTACTGAAAGGTAAAGCTTATTGGACCACATGGAAATACAAAATGAACATTCTTCTAAGAGGTATTCCAAATGCAGTTGATATTTTGGAAGGAAAATTGGTGCAGTTAAAATTGATGCGCATGTGGCAAGCCTGGTGAGTTTCAATACTGCAGATTGTAATGTACTTCTTGCTCTTACAATAAATATAACACAATATGGGTATACCTTACAAAAAGTTATGAGGTTTTCTACAGCAAGAGAAGTGTAGGTTGTATTGAATATGCTCTTTGATGGCAATGTCGAGGACAAAACTTATGGTGTTTGCTTAGAATTCTTTAACTATAAGGAGAAAGCTGAAGATTATATGGCAACGTACACGTCGAAGCTCAAGAATCTTTGGAATGAGCTGCAAAAGGGGTTATCAAAAGACAAAATCATTACAAATAAAATATGTAATAATTGTGAGTTACCTGAGTTGCTGTTAGTCTGTAAGATTTTAGAAACTCTACCCCAAGACTACTTCTCCTCCAAGTCAAGCTGGATGGTAATGTCGATATCTGATAGGACTATAGACAATTTAACAAATCAGCTTTGTTCTCATGAAAGGCATAATCAGACAAGAATAATGAAAGTCATCAGGAGGCATTACAGAGAAGCAGCTCGACCAAAAAGAGAAAACTAGTTTGGAATTATTGCAAAAGTGAAGGTCATAAGGTCAAACATGTTGTGAGAACTAATGCTTTCCTTTAAATGCTTTAAAGTATCGAATGCAGCATATTTGTAATATAGCTATTAGTTGTTAGATGGTGACACGTGTGATATGGACATAAATAAGTTGTACTGTACAGTTATGTCAAGTCAAGTCATGTTGTTGTATGCTGTGCTGAAAAAAAAATGTAACTGTACAAAACATAACGAAATTGGTAAAATAGAAAATTTACAGAAGATGGTAGACCTCCAAAACCAGAAAGCTCAAATTCAAGAAATAACAAAACACAGAAAAATAAGGATAGTAACATGATGTTATGTGCTTTAACAAATAGTGTCTTATTTAGCGAATGTGGGGAGAATAGCTGGTTTGTGGATAATGGGGCTACGCTACAAGTCATATTACAAATCGAAATGATATCCTTGAAACATTTTGATATTTTCAAGATACACACACCATAACGACAGCGAATGGAAAAACAGTTAGAGCAGTTGGAAAAGGAACCATTCTGGTACAAACAAAAGTTCAAGACAGAGAAGATCAGTGGCGTAGCCAAACCAAACGTGGACGTCGGCGACATCCAAATTGCGAGGCCCTTTTTATGTAGGGTGACTAGGGTGGCCATATTCCTTGTGACAAAAAGCTGGATATAACTTCAGGGACGGGTAGCCGCCAGTAGGCCTGCCGAGGGATAACCGCCGAAGGCGAGAATTTTTTTAGTGTCACGCCCCTTTTTCCGGGCATATCAACGATATTCGAAAACAATATTTAGTTAAAAATATTAATAGTCGCCAGTTCATCGACCCGATTCATTATTCATTGCATTCATTATTGCATTGATTCAGTGTAGAAGCAGTCAAAAAGTGTAGAAGTGTTCAAATAGCAACAAGCCAATCCGTCCAGAAGATATTTCCATTACCATGCTCAGTCAGCTCAGTAAGAGTCTAGGGAGCTTTTGCAGAATTCGGCCCTTAGACTCCGAAAAGCAAAGAAGCCAAATCCAGTCAAGCTGGATCCCAGAAGCCGGGAATTAGTAGCACAACCAAAGAGCAGACAAGTGCAAGAAGAAAAACCACCAGCTACCATGCTTCGGCGTGGTATATCAATGATTTCAGTAAAAAGTGCAGTAAAAAGTTTAGTAACATAAAAAAACATTCGATTGGCATCAAAACTACACGTACATGTATCAACTTCCTCAGGGACGCCACAGCCACTGGGGGAGTCGGACCTTCCCCAAAGCCACATGGTTTTTGTCCGACAAATGTCATATCGTTAATGTCATATAAAAAACAGTCGATTGGCATTGGAACTATACATACAGGTATCAACTTCCTTGGGGTCGTCAGAATGACAACTTCACGAAGAGCTAGCGTAGAAATGTCCCATCGCCCAGGGTGGAAATATGAAAAATATTATCCGACTTGGTGTTATGAAGCGGCTCAGGAAGTTTGGCATCATGTACAAGGTGGCCCAAATTCGAGCCTCATCATTGGGATCTCGGAAACCGTAAGAGATACAGGGTCCGTTAAATTATGGCAAAGTTATGCATTTTAATGCTTAAAAAATGCCGCTTTGATATTTAGTATATTCCGAATACTTTTGGAGATATCCAGAAAAAACCGAAATTTTTGCAAAATGGTTTTTATATTTTCCTGACCTTATTTGAAGTGATACTTCAAAAAAAAAAAATCACTTCATTGTAGCCACTTTTTCTCCCCTACAAGATGCTATCATCAAATTTAAAATCTGACGTTTCGTCTTTGTGCCACCATCATCAACTTTATTTTCCTAAATACGGACCCTTATTTTTTATTTCATATTTCAAGAGATTCTGATGTCACAAAACCTATGACGCATCGCATTTATTCGAAAAATTTATATTATTGGCACTTTCCATAAGAACTAAATGTGTTAGAGAGAGACAGAGAAAAAAATTTTGGTAGGAAATTGCTAAGAAGTAAAAAAAAATATTTTTTCGAATAAATGCAATACGTCATAGGTTTTGGGACGTCAGAAGCTCTCAAAATCTGGAATAAAAAATCCAGGGTTGTATTTAAAAAAAATAAGTTGATGATGGTGGCCCAAAGACGAAACGTCAGATTTTAAATTTGATGGTAGCATCTTGTACGGGAGAGAAAGTAGCTATGATGAAGTAATATTTTTTTTGAAATATTGCTTCAAATAAAGTCAGGAAAAAATAAAAACAATTTTGCAAAATTTCGGCATTTTCTGGAGATCTCCGGAAGTATTCGGAATATCCTAAATATCAAAGCGGCATTTTGTTAGGCATCAAAATGCGCAACTTTGCCATAATTTAACCGACCCTGTATCTCTTACGGTTTCCAAGATCCCAATGATGAGGGCCACCCTGTACATGAGTTAGAAAATTTATGTCGATGTACTGGGGACCATAATATTTTTCCGCTAGCAAATCTTCCGAGAATCTACCGAAAAAATAAAAACTATATGATTTGAAAGTTCTGGTCCATTTGCAGTAGAATTGGTAGTTTTCAGTGAATTCTATGATATTTGGAAGTTTCGTATAGGATTAAGTTTATTTCTCCTCTATGTTTTATTTTGGAAAATCGAAAAGTGCAAATTTTTAGGTGCTATTTTTTGCGAGGCCCTTAGGGCGCGAGCCCGTCGGCAGTCGCCGACGCGCTAGCTACGCCACTGGAGAAGATGTTTTGACGTTATCAGTATGGTTTACTTCAAGCACTAAAAAATTCAGTTTTATAGTTGGTGGTAAAACTATACTAACATGTGAAAGAAGTAGATTTGGAGGACTGCAGAAACTAGCATTGCAGGTATAAAGCCAGAGGAAGCAGCTCAAATCAAAAAAGTTTCGAATGATACCTTTTTGCAACTATACATGAACACTTTGGTCATCAAAAAAAAAACGACACATCAGAGATATTTTGAGTTGTAAGTTTGACCTCAAAGTGACCTTAAACAGCGAAATATGTGAGGGTTGTATTTATGGTAAAATGCACAGGAAAAAGTTTGGAACGAGAAAAAGAGCAAAGGTACCAGGAGAACTTTTACACACAGATGTTTGTGGGCCTTTTGAAAAATCCAAAAGTGGCTATAGATACTTCGTGCCCTTCAAGGATGATTTCAGTCGTTATCGTTA